CGTGACTGTTACTGTTGCGTGGTCTCGTTCTTCCTTGAGTTCTGCCCGTTTCTGCTGCATGTGTTCTGAGCCTCTTGTAGGCACTGAGGAGAGAGTCCCTCTGGCCTTGCAGCTCTTCTTACCATGCACACAGGTCTGAAATGCTCCTACCACTGATGGGCATGCCGAGTCTGTAGCTGCCAGGACAACTGGAAAACAGCACTTGAACGAATCTCCTTTATCAAGCTGCTTTCCTTCATGCCTGACCTATTTCTCTAGGATGGTTATCTAGAAGTAGAATCATTTGATTTATACGATGTGCTTGAAAAATTAAATGTTCTTTAAAATGGTCATCTAAATCCTGATGCTAATGTTAATATGAGCACAAAACCACACAAGCTCACTGCTGATGTTGATTCTGCCTCTGAGCAGCCCTGTAGGACAGAAAAGAACTGCCCTGGGGATTTCCCAGACTAACTCTTTACAGGGTAGAACGGCTCGTCCTGCTAGAGAAGCAGCGGGTTTCAAAGTGCGGGCTTTGCAGTGCGCAGCCCAAAGCAGGATCCACTGTGCCAGTAGAGCTCACATAGTGCGTGAGAGTGCTTCACACCCTCCTAAATACTGGATATTAATTTCCCAGCTCATGACTCTTGGGCAGTTTTAGTGAGGGCAAGAATGGCAAAATGATCCATTGTTTTTTGTTTGATTCTATTTTTGTATTTAAACGATATTTTAAATGTGTTAGTCCAGTAAGTAATCACTTTTAATCCTTTTCCCCCCTCCTCTTTAGGGGATGGCATTTACATTACAGGAGCGACAGATGCTTGGCCTTCAAGGACTGCTCCCCCCCAAAATAGAGACACAAGACATTCAAGCCTTACGGTTCAAAGAAAACCTGAAGAAGATGAGTGACCCTCTGGAAAAGTAAGAGCTGACTAGTCTTGCCTTGCTGTTCTCACCAGCGGAACCGGAGCGCTGGGTTGTGTGGCATGAAAAGCCAGTGCTCTCACGGTGACCTTTGTGTCAATTGTGGATAGTGGGGTTTGTGTTGACATTAGTCGAGACTTGACTTTTGTTCACAGTCATGGTTTAGCCAGTGTCACTCTTTTCTGCTTAAAATCAGTGTTTCAGGTGCGAAGGGAATGTTTGATGGGAAGGGAATTTACACCGAGTGTATCACACGTTTATTGGGCACCTGCTTCTTTGTGTGTGCCAGC